AAACAGTGAAGAATGTAAGCAAATAGATTTTGAAGCGTTGGACGACATATTTAGAATCTATTCCCACGGCACCCAAGAAGAAGAACATGGTAACAAAGAGGATGGAGTAATTTTTGATAAAACAAGCAAGGAGTCTCAAAGTACGAGCATTACAAATGATAGTGTTGCTTCAAAAGGTTCCGCGATAAATAGAAAGCTCACAAACCCTGTTTCACCTTATTCAAAAGATTTACATGCTATTGACCAGATGTCAACTTAAAAGTATAAAGAATTCATTTTAATTATGGCCTCGATATTTCTATATGAGAAGATGAATTTTCATGGTTAATATTTTAGGAACGGAGACGTTATGTGCCTGTTTGAAAGATTGTAATAAAAATGCCTTTTTTTGGGGATGAATAGGGTCGATAAGTTTCAAGAAAAAAACGTATATATACGGCCTAATTGCTACTATAAATAAATTATAAAGACATACTTAACTAATCTAAAAAAAGAAACTCTCCATAGGAGTTTACAGGGCTCTCCTTCATTCATAAGTTTTGTACTAAGCCCTTCGGGCCGACGGGCACCTATATTATGGTCAAATCAATATTTTCATTGAGAGCTCGACTCTATAGAATATCTTTACTTCACACGAGAAATGTGGTTGCGTTTTTTTTTTTGGAAGAGCTGATCAAAATCACAAATTGTTACTAGTACTTTACTCACCCACTGATTTTGCAACTTTATGGACCGAAGCAATATGGGTCGACTTCTTTAGGTCTTCGTTGTATCTGTGTCCAGTTATAAATAATAATCAAAAATGTATTTCTCCTCAAACTTTATTTATAACAGAAGCTACCGTAACCATTGTTTTGCTCTCTCACACCTCAATTACGTTTTAGTAATTTTATAACATCATCATTGTGCAAACATTTGTAAGTCTACTATTGAGGTCCTAAAATATGATACACAAGGACGAATCAGAATGCAAAAACGTTCTGCTACGAGTATAGATGAAGCAGATTAAGAAAGTAGAAAAAGGTCTAATCAAGCGGAGTTATGCACCTCAAATTACGACATTTATATAGGTTTACATAGCCCAGTACTTTCATGAGAGATAAAACGCTTTGAAAAACTGCCTTGACAGATTTTCCATTGAGGGTTTCTAAACTCATGGTGCAAATTTGAAAAAAAAAAAACATCTTGCTACTCCCGTTCAAATTTTCTAGCATAGGAATGATTAGATTCGACATTAACACCAATGGAGCGAATCTATCTCTTTCTCTTTCCTTCTAGGTATCCCATATTCGCATCCAGCCAATATCCTATGGAGCTTGTGAATCGATTGGCACGAAGTCTATAATATTATTATTTTGCAGTGGCCCTTTAGAAGAAAGGTCTCTCTTTGTTAGCTCTGTATCCTGAGATTCTTCACTCACTTTGTCAAAGACTCCTCCATCCGGTGAATTAATCTCATTATCCCCATTATTTCTATATATATTAATCTTTTTATGTGTCGATTTAAAACCCAGATCTCCTTGATCATCTTGGTGATCTTTTTGGCTATTGTAAGACCCTCTTTTAAAAATGCAATCTAGATCTGTAAAATCATTTTTTCTACGTTCTTCACTGCTT